TATAGAGGGCTGGGGGAGGTAAGTTTCTGTTCTTTAGGGAACCCTCATATAGTTGGCCCCCTCCTTCTTGAATTGCTTATTTAAATGTAATGCATTTCTAAAATGCTCCTAAAACATAAACATGTACGTGACCAGATAGAAGGAAGAAAGTGGAAAACAATTATTATTTAAATGTAATAGACTAGGGGAAATGTTATATAAGAAATGTAAATTCTCGTCCCCTTCCCAAAGATTCTATACACAATATAGAGAACTTTTCTTTTTATGTGCGTGCCATCAATTGTATGGCCTTGATGGGATTAGGGGAAAAATCATTTGCCTTTAATGCAGGATCCACAAAGTAAAATTCTTAGATCATGGCGTAAGGAGGAAAGTATTGTATGTTATTCATCTAAAAGTTGATATTGCTGATTAACTGAATACCGACTAATAGAACTGTCTCTTCCTGAAGGCATCATCATGTACAGCCACCCGTACCCAGGAGTGCAAGACCAAGAACAAGCCACGTAAGCAGCATCTCTGGCACGACTACTCTTCTCCTTGGCATAGCTGAGCCTCCGTACAAAGTGTTATAATTGGAAATCACAGTTGTATCTGAATGAATGTCAATCTAGAAGGACTGGTAATATAGGTCACTGACTGTGATAAAAGGAAGTTTCTGAAGGGGTATAGAGTGGGCTTGCAAGCAGAGCTTGTTGACTGCAGATTCAGACGCTGCTGCTTTCCTGAGTCAAGTGCATAAGTGCTTCGTCACTTCCACACATAGCATTTAAGTACTGTTTCTATGCTCAAGGACTGTACATCCCTGGCATACACCCTGTCACCCTTGGATACCGAGGCTTTTCTATCAAATATCCCTAGTCAACTCAGACGCAGTAAAACCACATTTATTTCAGGGTCACAGTAGAGTCGCATTGGAGATATTATCTGGCTGCCTTGCAGGAAGCCATATGTGTGTCACAGCCGACTCTTGTACGGTTTTGCTGATGGCTTACGCCATGAATCTCTCTGGAAGGAAAAGAGCTCCAAAAACTGATGTGTGCTTTCCTCTCCCTATTGCTCACTGTAGAATCAGCAGTTTAATCGATATTTTAGTGGCACTGTCCATCCTGATGGGCTACTCTGTCACCACCGCCAGCTTTGTCACCTATGTCGTAAGGGAACATCAAACCAAAGCCAAACAATTGCAACACATTTCAGGCATCGGTGTGACATGCTACTGGGTAACAAACTTCATTTATGACATGGTGAGTAACTTACGTCGTCACAGGACAAGCAGGATTAATGTGGACAGAAGGCATGTTTTATAGTCAAGAGTTATTTACTCTGCTTTGGTCAAATTATTATCACCAGGATAGGAAATTAAAAAAATAATAGTTTGTATCAGGCTTATCTTCATCCAATGGTTGAAGAAAAAAGAAACTCACCTGCCTTTGTCTCTCTGGACTATACCAAATTCCCTAGGACACTTAAAATGCAGATTCCTGGCCCCTACTCTAGATCTATTAAATCCCTATGTTGGGAGTGGAGTGTGGATAATATGCATTTTTAACAGGATCCCCCAGTGAATTTCAAGCATCCTGAAATCTAGGAATCCCTACTGTGAAAATCTTTGCAGCAAAATAGCCTTAACCCAATTGTGGTAAATAAGCCCATAAAAATTTAATCAGTGGCTCGGCGCCTGTGGCTCAAGTGGCTAAGATGCCAGCCACATACAACCAAGGTGGTGGGTTCGAATCCAGCCTGGGCTTGCCAAACAACAATGACGGCTGCAACCAAAAAATAGCCGGGCATTGTGGCAGGTGCCTATAGTCCCAGCTACTTGGGAGGCTGAGGCAGGAGACTAGCTTGAGCCCAGGAGTTGGAGATTGCTGTGAGCTGTGACGCCACAGCACTCTAGTCAGGGCTACAGCTTGAGGCTCTGTCTCAAAAAAAAAAAAAAAATTTAATCAGTAAAAAATTCAAAGTAGTAACCTCTGCTGAATGACACATTTGAAAAGATTAGTAGGGAAAAGAGGGGTAAATTCCATTTCTCTCATTTGCATAAAATGGTCCCAATTTTAGATGGTCATTCTTGATTCCAAACACACCAGTGTTGGCCAGAAGCCCAGGATGTATATGCCTGCCTGGTGATCATGGTGAGATTGTCTGGGTTGCTGTCAAGATCTCTGGCTTGAAGAGCTGGAGAGTAATTAACTGTATATTCATTTGGTTATTGTACCCAGCGAGGTCTGTTTGTTGTAGAAGTCGAATCTAAAAGAATAGTAATGAGTGCTCTGGACTTAATAGGAGCATTAATATCGAGAAAGCATCAAGTGTGCACTCTGTGAAGATTTACTTACCAGTCAGGATTCTGTTGCCTTATACTTGGAGCTCATTCCAAGGGAGGAGTTCCCCACCCCTGGCACCTTAATTAAATTCCCACCACCTTCATTATGCACATCTGGATGCAGTCATCCTCAGCCTCTCATATTTCTACTTGCCGACAAAATTCTAAGTTATTTGTTCACATGCCTGTGATTCAAGAAAGAGTGGGCCCCACTGCCCTGCTGTGTTGCACAGAGCGACTCACACTGATAACCAAGCCTCAGGAATCAACCATCTGAGAGAGTTCCAGTGTTCAAAAGGAAATCAATACTTTGAGGACAGAATTTAATATGATACCTGGCTGTCTTATCTTTGTCACTGAACCTCTGCCACACAATGTTCCGAAATCTCAAAGCATTGAGGCAGGAACGCCAGGAACTCCTCCTTGTATATTCATAAAGAAGGGAGACTGGCTTGACCTCGTATTGGAGCAAATAAACTCTCAAGTGAAATCAGTGTAGAATGAGGTGAGCATTACATTCAATGGGAACATAAATAAAATGCATTCCATCAAATATTCCTAGGTCAACTTGTTGCACTTTTAAACTAGATGGATTATGGATTTTTTTGGAACAATACTTGCCATATATTAAACATTATTTTCCATATTCCCATAGGTCTTCTACTTAGTGCCTGTAGCATTTTCGATCGGTGTCATCGCAATCTTCAAGTTACCTGCCTTCTATAGTGAAAGCAACCTCGGCGCTGTATCTCTCCTGCTTCTCCTGTTTGGGTAAGCTGCTGATTAAGCAATGAAAGAAGAATTAAGAGAATTAAACGCTTCTGGACACCATAGGACCTAAATCTCATTAGCTAAATTACAATTGCCTTGGGGTTTCCTTTGACATGAGTGATGACTACCAATACATTACACTTGCTAGTCCATAGTCTGTAAAATATAATACTTTTGAAAATTACTTCTGTTATTATTAATAGTAATACCTAACATTAATGAGCCCTTACTGGGTGCCAAGTGTCATGCCTACTAATTTACATATCTAAACTAATTTACATAAAAATGGATGCTTTAGAATTCACACCAATTCATGTGTGAATTTATATATTGACAAATTATAAAGAGTATATATAACATTATAAGGTATATAAACTCATGTATACTTATTTGTATTTATGTTTTCACAGATGTCTAAGGACACACACATAATAATGTTGCTTCTGTGTTAAGATAACACAGATTATACAGGTTGATATAATCAATGCTTAGCATAACAATCTTTTCTGCCCTGAATGCCTGAGTAGTATCCCTTCATTAGCAATTATAGCTGATGCAGGAGCTATCTATCTCTAGTTCTATCAAATTGCCTCAAAAGTGACTCAAGTCTTTGCTCAAAACAGGATATATAGTTTCTAACATGCTCTATATGTTTAGCTAGAATGCAATATCGTTGTTTCTCCTAAACTTCGAATGATAAGATTAATATTGATTAAAATTATATTTCTCAGCAACAAAAAAAATCCTGCATATGTAGACCACCACCATCCCGGGGGGGTGGGGGGAATTAATTTGTACATCTGATGATGCAGGGACTACACAGGGGTTTGTAAAAGTGACTTTTCAGTGTCATTGTTTTTTAAACATCCTTTGGTCTTTTCTGTCAAAAAGAGGAATAAAAGATCTAATTACAAGGCTTGGCAACTCCTTCCTAATGTTTATTTTTCTTATGGAACCCTATTTAAGTTATTTATTTATTTGTTGGTTTTTGTAAAATAAATTAACATGACGCATAATTTTAATTCTTAGTATTTTCAACCTGTAGTTATGCAACATTTTCTTGGATGTACTTGCTGGCTGGGCTCTTCCATGAAACAGGGATGGCCTTCATCACTTATGTCTGTGTCAACTTGTTCTTTGGCATCAATTCCATTGTTTCCCTGTCAGTGGTGTACTTTCTTTCCAAGGAAAAGCCTAATGATCCGGTAAGGTCCTTTTTTAGTCTGTGAAACTTCACTGAATGTATCAAAAGCTTCAGCATGTTCCAGGTGGAAAGAATTTCTTTTATTCTACATTCTTTAAATAGAAAAGAAGAATATCGTTTGATTCTGTTAAATTTAGGAGAGAGGAGAAATTCTCCTTTAAACAGCTTTTAAATTTTTTTTTTTTAGGCTTCATCTAGGTTAATGCTCATCATTGTATTTACTGAATGTCAAAACTATTGACATGTCATAGGACTTGAGGAGGGCAATGGAGGTGAAATCAGATATATTGTGTAGCGCTACATAAACCATGCAGCCGATTGGTCGGCTGAACCTTTTACTCATTAACAAATTCTCACGGTACGGTGGTGACAGACAATGACTTAGTTATATGACTGTGGGCTAGGAGTCATTTGATCATTCACAGGGGGAAAAACTCATTCTTTCCCCTTTCAATCACGTATTGGAGTCTGCTTCATTGCCAGCATCACTCTCTATTCAGAATTGGCAATTATGATTAGTGGGAAGAGAAGCACTAACAGTGCCAGGCAATTGAAAAGAAAAGAATAGAGAGGAAATGAAGTGAACTGAGGGATAGACAAGTCTGCTCCGGGAGGAGGAAGAAAATTCATGAGCTGGAAAGAGTTGGCCCCAAGTGTGAATAACGTGAAAGTGAGCCATTTGCTCCTCTTGGACACATGTCGTCTCCCCTTCCATCTCATTTCATCATTTTAGTCCCTTTCCAGATAGGATTTACCTGGAGTTCTGAAACTTCACTATCAAGTGCCTCCCTCGCTCAGCACCTACCACTCTCCTATACCAGACCCTCACGCACCAGCTGGTCCTACCCTCCTGGGATCTCCATCAGGTCTAGAAGTAATTTTGCCTCCAGGATTGGGCCCAACACCTTAGATTGCCTCAAGAAAAACAAAATCATTTTCTGTGACAACCTCCATCCACCACTTGGTTACAATAAATATTTATATGCAAATTCATCATAATTGCCACTCTAGATAGGCTTCTCATGTTTTAATATTTGCCTACATCTAATTTTAAATTTTCACCAATTTGTTGGAAGCCTAATGCTGATCTTTGTTTTTATTCTCTCATTTCAGACTTTAGAACTTATCTCTGAAACCCTCAAGCGCATTTTCCTGATTTTCCCACAATTCTGTTTTGGCTACGGTTTGATCGAACTTTCCCAGCAGCAGTCAGTCCTGGACTTCCTGAAAGCATACGGAGTGGAGTACCCGAGTGAAACCTTTGAGATGAATAAGCTGGGCGCAATGTTCGTGGCCTTGGTCTCTCAGGGCACCATGTTTTTTCTCTTGCGACTCTTGATCAATGAGTGGCTGATAAAGAAACTCAGGTAAATATAATGAAACATAGTGTGAGACGTCCATGAGAGAATGCAATTTAAAATATTCAGGAAGGGTCAATGGTTTAAGCTTTTCTACTAGTAATGTTTGGCTCAAAAACACTTGTAGCATGATTCACCATTCCTTTTATTCTGGTCAACAGTTGTCTCAACTTACTGTGTGTCTGCAAGTGTTGTTGTGGAGTGAGGGAATAAAATTAAATACGCACAGCTGTCTTCAGTGGTAGGGTGCATACACAGGAGATGTAGTCTTTCAGTAGAGTTCAGAAAAATGGAAACACTTTCACAGGCAGAAATGGAGAAACAGGATTGTAGCCTGTTGGCAACAAGTTTGGGAAAGGAAGACTGAGAGTAAGTCAGGACAGTGTCATAAATAAAAAGAAATAGCCATACCATGGACCCAGAAATTCCATTTTTAGGAATTGTTCCTATGGATATGCTTATGCATATGCAGCAATCCGTATGTATAAAATTATGTATTATAATAACCATTTATAACAGCAAAAGAATGGAAACGACATGAATGTTTTTCATTTAGGGACTAGTTAAATAAATTATAAACATCTATTCACTAATGCAACATTATGCAGCCAGTAGAAAGAGTGACACAGTTCTCCATGTAATATTTAGGATTGCCTCTAATATTTATTGAGTGAGAACTGCAAGGTTCAGAACTATGTATGAAGTGCTAGCATATTACCATGTGAGTTAAAGACAAAATAAATACATATCATTGTGCTTACAGATCCATAGACTATCTCTAATTGTGAGTACTGAGGAGAACTCCAGTATATATGGTTACAAAGGACTTACTTATTTCTCTGCATCTTTCAGTACCATTTGAATTTCAATATCATGTGTGTGTACCTATCAGCTATTGGAAAATCAAATTTTAATCAAAGAATAATAATGAGAGGAAAGACAGGAGCACAGATAGAGAAAAATATCGAGGCACGTTTAAGAAAGGACTAACACAATTTGATAAGAATATAGAATAAATGTCATGAAATAGCAGCAAAAGCTTAAAATGTAGTTGGAAGACTGAGTCCCCTAAATGCTTGCGAAAGAGATATGGTTTGGGGTTTATTCACAACAAACACATGGGAGTCCATTAAAGATTCTTGAACAGAGAGCAGCATGATCAAATTGTGCTTGAGGAGAGGTAATTTTGTGGAGGTGGTGTAGATTGAAATGGAAGAGCCAGAGAGAGCAGAGCGGTTTCAGGCTGCCGGAGAAATCTAGGTGAGGAGTAAAAGCCTATAATAGAAATTGGCAGAAAATAATCCATGATGGGGTGTTATAGAGCATTTCCAGGGTTTGGAGTCTGACTGCATGAGAAGGTTTTGGAATAGGTAAGATTCAAAACACCAAAAAAAAAAGCATCACAATTGGCATCTTTGGGGATATCGTGAAAAGAAACAAGAACATTGGGAGGAAGACCTGGATTTTTAAATTTTGTTTGTTTTCTTTTGGTATTTGTTAAGCAAGATGCTGAGGTGGGTTTGGGACTTAGTGTACAGGGCTGATAACCTTAAAATATTGGCTAGATCTTAGCTGAGACATGAACAGTAGAAAGAGTCGTACAGAATAACATTTACATTACTGATGATTTAAAAAGTAGAGATGTCTACTGTGTAACGTTGTGCCTGCAGTTAACAATGATGTACTGTGCTCTTAAAAATGTGTTGAGGGGGTAGATCGTATGTTAAGTGTTGCCACAATAAAAAAAGAAACATAGATGATTAAAAGTAAAAGGTGATCATCGGTCTTGGGTTTGTAGGTGCTGAGTTTTACTAATATTGCTGGACTGTTAAGAACTAATGTTCAAACATCTATTCACTTGCTTATTACTGAAATCAGGATGCTGAATTCTAACAGTGGATCTGTAAACATTTAAGGAATCAAAAGTAGAAGCTGTTTCCCAAATATCAGAGTGAATATGGGGAAGAGAATCCACACTAATTTCTCAGGTTATTTGAGTAGCATAATATAAAAAAAAAAAAAATTAAAAGTGAAGTGAAAACCCATTAAAACATTTCAAAATTGAGCAGCGCTATTTTTAAATCATTGATGTAAAATCACGGGGTCCATATTTTAGGCTCTTCTTCAGAAAATTTAATTCTTCACCTGTAATGGAGACAATAGATGAAGACGAGGACGTGCGGGCTGAGAGGCTGAGAGTCGAGAGCGGGGCAGCTGAGTTCGACCTGGTCCAACTCCATCGTCTCACGAAGACCTACCAGCTTATCCACAAAAAGATTATAGCTGTGAACAACATTAGCATCGGGATACCCGCTGGAGAAGTAAGGGACTCTGTTCTGTTTCTAACCGTCCTTTGTATTGGCATAAGTGGCAATTAAAATCTTTAATTTTTTCCTAATTTTTTTTCTAGACTATAAAAGTCAATCTGAATATTTCCGTGGATTATATATAATCTATATATCTATATATACAGTCAGCCTTTGGTCTCCAAGGGGGTTGTTGTCATGAGATACCGAAATCCATGGATGCTCAAGTCCCTGATATAAAATGGTGTTTAGTATTTGCACACAACCTGCACACATCCTCCTCGATCATCTCTAGTGTAAACTTTAAATCATCTCTAGAGTAAATGCTATGTAAATACAGTAGAATCTCTGTAACTTGGCCACCCAAGGGATTGTAACAAACTGGTCAACATCCGGAGGTCGACATAAGGAACTTCCATTGAGTACTTGTGGTGCTTGTCTGGTCTCTGAAAATTAGGTCAACTTAAGGAGGCTGTCAATGTAGAGAAGTGGCCAACTATGGAGGCTCTCCTGTGGTTGTTACACTGTTTTATTTAGGGAATCATGACACGGGAAGAGCTGTACATTCTCAGTAGTGATGTTTTCTTTTTCCTGAATATTTTCTCTCAAGGTTAGTCGCATCTAAGGATTGGAAACCCATGGGTATGGAGAGCCAGCTATTCATTTACATATGTACATGCATTATTTACCCCTGTGAGTTTTTCCCTATTAGCAGGGAGAATTCAACAACTACCAACTACAGTCCACTGTTCACTCCGGGGTGAACTTTGGTCAGGAAGCCAGTTCAGGCTTTTGTCTTCAAAACCTTTCATTCCCAGCCCTCTTCAAACAGACATAAAGACATCAATTTTCAGAAGTGAGGTCCCAGAGCTGCATCTATTTATTTATATTCTTGCTGTTTTCACAGCACCAGTATTAAGGCAGCTTTGAAAAGAGAGAGAGAGAATATGGCTCTTTCCCTTAGCTTTCCAAGCAGAGCTGTAAACTGCATGCATCAAATTTATTTGATGGTATAAAGAAATTATTGCTTCAGTAGCTTATTCAGTAAAGTTGTGAGTGTGTGTGAATAATATGAAATCTATAAATATAATGACTTCGTCAGGTTAGCAGATCTTATTTGTGGAGTATTTTATCATGTCACATAGCGGGGTGCTATAACGTGATATGTAAAACAAGGGCTGTGCAGATAAACAAATGTTTAGATGGTTAAGAGAAAAAAGATAACATAAGTATCCATTTGTTTTAAAAGAAAAAGTTTTACCAAGTGCCAGCAGAACACAATATCCATGAATAATTCCAGTGATTTATTTTTCTTGGTAATTTATTTCAGCCTGAGGGAATGAGGAAAGAAGATATAATAGCAACATGTCTTTGGTTTGAACTGAAGTTTACATCTTTTATTTTTCCTCCCCCCCAAACCAGTGCTTTGGCCTTCTTGGGGTGAATGGAGCAGGAAAGACCACCATATTCAAGATGCTGACCGGAGACATAATTCCTTCCAGTGGAAACATTCTGATCAGAAATAACACTGGGTATGAAAAACTAATGCTTCCCTGAGCAGGGTGGCTCACACCTGTAATCCTAGCACTCCAGCAGGCTGAAGCAGGAGGATCCCTTGAGCTCAGGCATTTGAGATCAGCCTGAGCAAGAGCAAGACCCTGTCTCTACTAAAAATACAAAAAAAAAAATTAGCCAGGCATTGTGACAGGCACCTGTAGTCCCAGCTACTCAGGAGACTGAGGCAAGAGAAACCTAGGAGTTTGAGGTTGCTGTAAGCTAGTCCACTGCCATAGCTCTCTAGCCTAGGCAACAGAGTGAGACTCTGTCCCCAAAAAAATAAAAAAGAAAGAAAGAAAATAAAAAGAAAGAAAAGGGAAGGGAAGGGAGGAGAAGGAAAGCTAATAGTTCAATTACCAAGTACAACATAATTATTTAGGAAAAAAATACTTAAAATGAACAGTTTAGATTACTTTGTATTGTATTATTAAATTATCAGGAGAGAAAAAACTAAGTGAGCAGAAATTTTTAAAACTTTAAGTGCGACTCTGATAGTGGTATTATTTTATCCCTTTTCATCAAAGTTACCGACTACCATGACCAAAATAAAGCTTCCTTCCCAACCTGTGGGGACCCGCAGAGATAAGTCTTTTGAAACCCATTCGTGTTTTTGATGCTCTCTTCAGATCTCTGGGTCATGTTGACTCTCACAGCTCATTAGTTGGCTACTGCCCTCAGGAAGATGCTTTAGATGACCTGGTAACTGTGGAAGAACATTTGTATTTCTATGCCCGAGTACATGGAATTCCAGAAAAAGATATTAAAGAAGTGAGTACAAGTGTGAAAAACGGGTTAGTGTGAAACCATTATTGCTTCTACTTCTCTATATCATCTCCTCAAAACTAACTGGGACATGGTGACATTTTCCTGTTGGCAATGACAATGAATCCATCCTAGTCTGGTTATGTATATTAGATGTACATACAGAGGGTGCCAAAAAAGTACACACATTTTAAGAAAGGCATAAACTATTAAATTTGTAGTATTTAAGTCACGTGTGACTTTGCAATCACAAGAGGGGCTCAACATGACTTGCCGTTGTCTTTTGTTATCAGTATATGTTGAGTGTTGTAATTTAATACAATTTTTTCCTTTTTTAAAAATGTGTATACATCTTTTTGGCATGCTTCGTATGCCGATGAAATCAGCTGTAGGAAACCTTTGACTCGTATTTGTTCTGTTACCTTTTTAAGAACAAATAGTGGCTCACACTCGCATCAGGCTCTGGGTTGAACATTGGTTGGTGAAGCCTGTGCCTCTGGGGCTTAAGCATTGGCACATACAATTAGCCACAAAATGCCCCAGCAGAATAGAATAGTTTCCACTTTGATTTTGAATCAGGGGCTTTGCACTTCACTGTACTATTTGCCTTTTTAATGGGATGGCTAAACCTTAGAGCAGTTTCCTCTATTTTTTCAATCCTGGGGACCTGTTGTATAAGTCCAATTAGGATTTTGTTATTTTCCAGGGCTATGTAACTACAGAAATAACCACAAAAACCCAAGATTACTAAGGTGCTCAAGTTTTGATATGTTTTAAATAGCCTTAAAGCCTTTGTGACAGCTCACCGCTCAGTAGGAATAAAGAGGCAGCAGGGATGGCAATCAATGAAAAACCCAAACTTATGAATTCTGTTTTAGTTCTTTTAAGCTTAACAAGAGAATCCCATGATAATACGCCATAAAGTACAACCTGTAACTGTCAACACTCACACTCACACATCTGAGGGAGGGTAGAATCCCCTAGCAAATGAGCCTTCAAGGAATTGTTTTTTATCTTTTCAAATAAACTATTAGTTTTAAGTGGTTTTTTTAAAAACAAAAATAAAATTAATGTTGAATTTAAATGTTTCCATTTTTTCCCTATAAACATTCTCCATAAGAAAATTTTTTGTCACAAGCAGATTTTTGTTTCCATTTAGTGCCGTAAGGGTTTCTGCAGGGAAAGGTCAACTCAACTCCTCTTTTGTTGTCCACAGACTGTTCACAAACTCCTTAGGAGGCTCCACCTGATGCCCTACAAGGACAGAGCTACCTCTCTGTGCAGTTACGGCACAAAGAGGAAACTATCCACGGCGCTGGCCTTGATAGGGAAACCTTCCATTCTGCTGCTGGTAAGAGACACGTGATGAAAGGGCTGCAGATCCACTCGGGTGTGTTAACATTCCACCTTCATCGTGGCACTCAACATTTACTGAGGTCTCACTGCGTGCTGATTTCTATGCAAAGCACTTTCCTTATATGCATGCCATCCCATAAAGAGAAGTTCTATTAACAAATAATTTGCTACCCCAACCAAATGCCCTCAAAAATGTTTTGTCAGAAGCAATGGACTCAGTGGATTTTAGAGCAAACACTGGCATGGGAGTGGGAAATAGTGGAAAGACATTCAAATAAGTAAAGTTATAAAACACGGTAGATTTTGATTCCAACCTCTTGAACAAATCGTGTCTCGTTCTATTAGGAACCTATTAGGGGAACTAACACTTTCCAACTTCTACTGTGGAGGACAGACATGTGTTAGAACAATGTATTGTGCTAGGAGTTTATTTCCCTGTTACTGAAAAATACAAGTTATCTACCTTGGGATATGATTCATAATATGCCGTACTAGTTTATTTGAATCTAGAGGGGCAAGAAGGGCATTCCACATTTATATTTTGATTAAAAGATCAAAAATTAAATTGATCGCCTAGGACTATAAGTTACACATAGTAATACAGTAATCTGCTCCCCAGGCCCAACATTGTGAAAGGGCCCTTATTTCAGAGAAACCAGCTTGGCCTTATTTTGGAAAATTCCCTTCGTTCAAAGAGCGCCAATCTCTGGAAGAGTCTTAACTATAGGCAATCATAATCCAGTTATAAGTCAGTTCTTTATTCCAGGAATTAAGTTGTACAGTGAATCAAATCATTTAAACTGCCAGATAGAATGATGCCTAGCTTACCTTTCCATAATATCAAAAGCCTATAATGCATCACATTTCTGCTCCTAACACAATCCTATTGTGTAAATGTCCCAAAATTGAACAAAACAACCCATCTGAGATAAGAGATATATAGCACTTTGAAATGTTAAAAGTGCTGTGTGTTATATCTTAATGAGCTGAAATATAGACTCTAAGAGAAAATTCAGAGAGAAAAAGGCCACACACATTTCCTTCCACATACATTTACTATACGTTCTATCTTCTTTGAAAATAGGAACAGTGACAGTATATCCTTTGATGTTTCCCCAAATTAACATTCATGCCTCTATTTTTTATTTTAAAAAGTTTTTAATTATTAATTTTATTTGATTCCTAATAAATATGTATTTATGGGGTACAGTGTGACATTTCAATTCATTTATACAACGTGTAATGACCAAATCATAGTAAGTAGTATATGCGTCATCTCAAACCTTCATTATTACCTTGTGTTAGGAACATTCAAAATCCTCTCTTCCACCTATTTGAAAATATGCTATAAATTACTGCTAACTGTAGTCACCCTGCTTGTTGCTTCTATCAGCTCAACGTTTTTAGCTTCCAAGTATAACTGATTTCTTTCTTTAAATTTAATATCTTACCATAAAAATAAGCCTCTGGTTACCCTATGCACATACTTTCCATCACATTTCTTTTTAATTTTTATGTAATCTTGACCTATACTTTTTTAATCACCTGTCAGGATCTATTATTGTTGAGATTGTCTATTGCTACATTTTCTAATTTTATGTCTGAACGATTTTCAAAATATCATTTACTTTGAAACATAACATACATCTTCCTTGGCAATTTCTGGAAATATTATTTTTATTTCCCTGAAGAGAGTTAACTTTCAATTAATAACAGAAAACTAAAAATACTCCTCAAACACATTAACTGAAATATCCAACGATCTTGTTTCTGCTTCACATAGCATATTATATCCATCACAGCCACAGTACTGTTATCAGAAGCAGGCTGGCAGTCCTGTTGAGATGTCTTCAAATATATATGTGACAATGTAGAATTAAATGCAAGAACTCTGCTTTGTCAGTAATTGAAGCAGAATTTTTTCCAAAGAAACATAAGAGACAGATGTAAAGTAACAGGGTGTCAACTTTGCTGAGACATTTTTTAAAACATATTGACAATTTTAAATGATTAATTTTAAGCAGCAGAGAGGAGCTTATTGAGTATGAAACAAGTTAGTCACAGGATCCTGAAAAGTGACTTATGTTCTAGGGAAGTGAAATGTGGTGATTCACGTAAAGAACCTCATCAAAAATTAATTAATTTGATAAATTTTTCTTGTAACTTTTTATTAAGGATGAGCCAAGCTCTGGGATGGATCCTAAATCAAAACGGCACCTCTGGAAGATCATTTCAGAGGAAGTACAGAACAGATGCTCTGTCATCCTCACATCTCACAGGTAAACTGAACGCAGGGCCCTTACAGTCAAACCACCCAATCTTAGGATGATAGGTGAGGAAAGGTAATCCTATGTAATGGGAGGATGGAGGATGGATGGATGGATGGATGGATGGAAGGATGAATGGAAGGATGGATGGAAGGATGGAGGATGGATGGATGGAAGGATGGATGGAGGGATGGAGGATGGATGGATGGAAGGATGGATGGATGGAAGGATAGATGGATAATGAAGGCCCACGATTGTATCAATATCTTTACAATAGCAGGAGCAAATCAGGCAGGCTCTATGGTATGAGTAGAGCTCTCATGGTGGGACAAAGTTCAAGGTCTAAGCAGTCTTTTTAAAATCAAATTCCCCATGACTTATGGCCTTCTTAACTCAACTATGGCTCCCTGTTGCTTACCAGATAAATTTCAGAATGCTTCGGCTCAGTATTCAAGGCCTTCTATTCTCTGGCCTCATCTAAATATTCCATCTCTTTTCCCTGCAACACCCTCTCGCATCAGTCGATCTGAATGACATGGTTTATACCCTCACACTGGCCCTTCTCCCCTCCTAGCCCTGGTTGGGCTATGCTCTCTACTTGAAAGGGTCTTTTCACAAAATCTCTCCATATTCTAATCCTACCAGTCCTTCCAGAATCTGCCCACTTGCCTTTCCTCCATGAAGTAGACACCTCTAGTCAGCTAAGCATAAGAAGCATTCCGAGCTGTCCACACTTTTGGCTTCTCTGAGCCACACTGGAAGAAGAAAAGTTGTCTTAGGCCACACATGAAATACGCAAACATTAATGAAAGGCAATGAGCAAAAAAATGTCCGTGCATAATTTTTGTTATATCCCTGCCACCAGTGATATGCAAAAAAGCCTTCACATAATCCACATGCCACCCACTCAGGTTGAATACATACAGCATTTTATCTGTGACTCTTATCAGGTTGGCTTTGTCTTATAATTTGTATTAAGTTTATCTTTGCATTGTAATTATCAATGGTAGAAAAAGTGTTAGCTTTTCTATGATCAAGAGACTTGTTTCCATCTTAGCTTTGCCCCAGCACACTGGAGCCAACCATTGACTATCCATTAGCTTTTATATGAAAGGGACAAGGTGATACTTCAAATCTCCTGCAGTTATCATAGTCCATGAAATTAGAGATTATACAATCAAGTGTAAATTCACTAGTTATTAATCCCGAAACATAAAATCCCAGTAAAGGTGGGATATGAAGCATAATGAAGAAAGTTTGATGTCATTTTGGCAATGTTTCTGAGAAAGCATAGATCTGGAGTCAGCTTAAAAGAATTATTAGGTTTGATAGAGGGATCATTCCAGGTGAGAGAGATGGCAGCAAGCTGTAGAAGTGGTAATAAACCCTCTCTGAAGACATTAATTTACACTCAAAAGATTTATTTTTTTTCTCCTTCAAAATAACTAAAAACAAAAAGAGAATGAAGGAGCAAAAATAGTAATTCTAAGACGCCGTACTGAAACGGAGAAGTTTATGCTCATGAACGTCCCGATTTTCTGTGTCTTGAATGCTAACGTGATTCTGCTCTGTCATTCAGCATGGAGGAATGTGAAGCTCTCTGCACCAGGCTGGCCATTATGGTGAACGGAAGGTTCCAGTGTATCGGCTCTTTGCAGCACATAAAGAGCAGGTGAAGAGCAAATGCATTCACAGACAGGGTAGAGCAATCCCTCCCACGGTGCCCTCCTCATTTTAAAGGATTACCTCAGCAGCCTGAATAGTAAAACTGAGATAGAGAAGCAAATCGTTGACTCATCTTAAATTTAAATGATTTGATGGAGAGTTTAATGTCTTTTTCAGTTAATAACTCAAAAACCTAGAAGGCCTACAGCTAAAAAATAAACAAATAATAAATTATCCACAAGCAAAATACCCTCAAGAAGAGATTTCTTGTGTTCTTCTTCTTGTTGTTGCAGTTTGCCTGGGGCCGGGTTCAAACCCACCACCCATGGTATATGGGACCGGCGCCCTACCCACTGAGCCACAGGCACCACTCCTCAAAAAGAGATTTCAAGAGTTTATCTAATAACAAATTTGACCTTGGCAAGTATAGGAAGGGATAGATTTTTATCTAGCCGTGTTCGTTTTTCCATTTTCACAGGCTCTCAGCCAACTAGCCAATGTTTTTACCATGGTCAAAACCTTTTAGCCAAGAATACTTTATAGAAATGTGTATAAATATCATATTACTATAAAATTAAAATAAATTAATAATTTATATTCACCAGAGCGTATATGCATTTATACATATCCACATTAATCTCCAAACTTCAGATATTACTTTATACCTTTCTGTACAACAAGTTGACTTTTTTACAAAGTAATATTAACCAAGGTAAAGATAAAAAGACGAAAGAGGACTTCAGTTGCTCTTGGGGAGTCTGTTGTGACTTGTTTGCAGACTTTATTCTGGATACAAACAACATCTTATTTGAATATTTATTTTTAAAACTCCAGTAATGTTAATCTTTCCTGTTGATGCCAAATCTCCAAGAGCCAGCCTCTCAAGTGCTTGCTTATTTTAAGTTAGAAAGTATTTAACCCCAGAAATTGACATCCATGGCCAATTCATGAATGTCAAAGAAAGCCAAGGTTTTATGTTTTCTTTTCACTGCAACTTTTGCCCAAAGATTCTGATTTTATATAGAGGTAGAAACAAATAAAAAAATCATGGCAGTGCCCTATATCCAGTTTGTAACATACCCTGAACTTTTATGGCAAAATGACAGTCTTTATCTAAGGAAAGGGGCTGGTAATGGTCCGCTTGGGTCCTGTTTCATTATCTGCAATTCCAGGGGAGCTGTTTCGACAAAATGTAACTCATATCATAGTTTGCACTTTTTCTTTCTAGGTTTGGACGGGGATTTACTGTCAAGGTTCACTTTAAAAATAACAATGTGAGCAGAGAGACCCTCACCAAGTTCATGCAGCTGCACTTTCCGAAAACATACTTAAAAGTAAGTGATTATCTCACCTCTCGATTTTGATGGGTTTTTGCTCGTTATCATCTAATGTCTTAGTAAATGTTTATCTTCATCTACAGGTTGACCACGGCTTTATTATTACTCTAAACTTACCAGTTCAAGACGCATAACACTCCAAACCACACTCAGTATGAACAAATAGAATCTTCAAATTAATGATGTATTTCTGTAGCAACTTAAAGTTAACACAGTCCTTTCATATATATTTATTTATTTCTTCCCCACAAAGTCTTTGTGATGACACTGTACTCATTTTCGAGTGGTACATATTGCTAATTTACTAGTTAGGCATGTCGGAGAACTGAGGAACGGCAGGTATGTGTTGAAGGCATAAAAAAAGCTACTGAGTTCTAAGGTGTCACAACTGGATGAAATTATCTCCTTTGTTTTCTCATTTCAAAGATGAATCCACACGACTGGGTGGAAGTGGAGTCCTCGAGTCCCAGACTAGTCAGATATTTTATAATTGATTTCATCCTATATACACACAGCTATGAGTAGACACACACACGTAAGCTAAATGTACTTGATAGAAAAAGTTATGATTATCGTATCTTTGATGTCCAGGTAAATTGTAGAAGATGATGATGGCAAATGATTGTTTTTAGAAGGAAATCAGATGTGGAATGATGGAAAAAAAAATTGGAAAGACCTGGGCTGAGGTCTGGCTATGCCTGTGGGATATCCAACAAGTTAACTAAATTCTCTCAGCCTCATTTTTCTTATTTGTAAACAGAAATCCAGTATCTCCCCTTCTCTGAGGGGGATTCATTCCACCATCCTCAGAGGACACCTGAAACCTCGGATGGTACCAAACCCTGTACCGTTTTCTCCTGTGTAGTACCAGGGAGGTAGCATTCCAGTGTGGATACTGGACAAAGGGACAATTCATGTCCTGGAATGGGAAGGTTTGAGGTTATATTACACTACTCAGAAAGGCAAGCAATTTAAAATATATGAATCATTTGTTTCTGGAATATTCCCCTTAATACTTTCAAACCACAAGGGACCACAGGTAACTGAAACCATGGAAAGCGAAAACTGAAGATAAAAGGTGACTACAATAACACGTACTTCATAAAATCGGTGTGAGAGCTAAATGATTAAGGGTCCACAAAGATAATTCACCAACTATAAGGCACAATATTAATGTGACGGGATTGTAGACAACAACATAGATTGCAGTTTGAAAAAGAATTCATCTTTACAAAAAGAAATACCTTTGCCTCAGCCTCCCCAAGCATTAGGTAACTTCTCCAGGAAATAATAGCTTTCATGATTCTTATCAAAACCCATTTTCTATCATCTAAATTTAAATCAAATGTAAAAGCTAAAGGACATCTTTCTTGCACAAATTGTATTGGTTGTAACACTTTTTCTTTTAGCGAATTTCTGTGTTTATTCACTGAGTGATGAAATTACATTCTCCCTGGTCTGTTCCTCTCGGGACCAGGGCTATACAAGGCAAATGCGGTGATGACAAAAGTTTGATTTTTTTTTCCCTAGGCAGACCATTCTTTACAAATCTGTGATGGTGTCTAGATCTCTAGAAGGGAAATAGCCAGAACAACATTTTGAGAGCAAACACAAGCAAGATTTCCAGATTGCAGTGTCAGGTAGAATGCAGCTACAAGTTGACGGAAAGGCTGGGCAGTGCACACACGGGCGAGGAGAAAGTCTCGAATACCTGGCTCAAAATTCATGGTCTTGATCTGATCTATAGAAGTCACAAGGGCAGATTCTGGAATAAGAAAACATCCTGATGAAACTAGTAAAGATTCAACTAGCTGCTTTGTGCCAGAATCAATGGCTTCTGATGAGGCTGACGTAGTTGCTCAGATGTGGAGTGATAAGCACCAAGTTAATAATACTGATGGTGCAAATAGACAGGAAAAGTTACACTTGAGAGACATTTTAAAGGAATAATAAATAAGATGTGGTAACTGACTACCACAGCTGCTTTGGGAAAAGCAATTTGTTCAAGATACTCCAGGCAATAAGAATACATCACTAAGTCTCACCTAACGTGCATGATGTGAGGGTGTTTCCGCACACAACTCTGGGGGAAGGGCTCAACTCCAACTTGAACTTTACCTCAGAATCAAAAACAATGTAACCTAAACATTTGTATCCTCATATGAATTTGAAATAAAAAGATAATAGATTACTAAAAAGAAAGTGATACTATTGACTAAAATAAAGAAATGGAAAAGAATTTTAGGATGAATCCAGAAAGGATGCAACATCACTGGACTGAAGTTTCTTCTAGACAATGCTATTGAAGTCCAGCATGTCCAGCCAATATAAACTGAACAGCTAATTTCTAGCCTTTGAGAATAATTCTAACATAAAAATAAAATTTCTAAAATTGATCAATTTATACCCCTGGGGGAAGGGCTCCCCTGCAACTTGAACTTTACCTTACCATTGAAGACAACATAACCTAAACATTTGTTCCGCTCTATTAATTTGAAATTTTTTTAAAAAGAGAGAAAACTTGTGTGAGCTGAGCATAGCCTGACATGTGAAATGCCATTCCACGCACTTTTTGTTTCCAGCAAGATTATAATGACTGTAGGAGTTCATATGAATGTAGAATGCCTGGGAATTTTCACTAACTTTTTACTTTGTTTTCTCTTTGATAATTGTAAAACTTTTCATCTCATCTTTGCAAGCTATTAGTTTTAAAACATACCCATTCTTTGCAGTCAGATCATTTTCAGTGGAATGAATTTCAGTATTTTCCCTTCCTTAGCTGTTGGTAAAATTATGCCTAATCATGTAGACATAGCTTGACATTGCAAAACAAAATTTTTTCTTTTGGTTTCTGCAGGATCAGCACCTTAGCATGCTGGAGTATCATGTACCTGTCACAGCGGGAGGAGTAGCAAACATTTTTGATTTGCTGGAAACCAACAAGACTGCTTTAAATATTACAAATTTCCTAGTGAGTCAGACCACTCTGGAAGAGGTAAGATGTATAGCAGGATGCATGTGCTCAACTTCACATATTAATTATTATGCATTCTGGTTATTTCTTTTTAATGACATTCAATTTCTTTTTAATTGAATTAATATCTAATCTTGCACCTGAAAAACTTAGCAAAGAGCCTAATTAATTTCTGACTTCATTTGGGGATATTAAAAAAAAAAAAAGATCTGAAAGGCACTATTTTTATTGGAGAAAAGACTTTTTTTCCATTCTATAGACATCTATATCCATCAGGTAGAATGTAGGTAAAGCTACAAAACACTAATTTCACCAACAAAACTAACAGCTATGAACATTTTGTTTACTTTCTTCAAGAACATTTCTGTTGATTGGCTTCCGGGATTAGGGTGGGATGGGGCTAGTTAGAGAGAATTTGGAGCCAGATCTTTACATCTGCTCAATTCAGCCAATTAAGGTGGCAAATGCAGAATCCTTTCCTTTCCATTACATCATTCATCTTAATTACACTTACATTCAGTATCTAGAGGCATCATAGGTAATCCTGGATAGCACCTCTGCACTGTCTTAATTTTGTACAGTTCAACCACATGATGTACACAATATTTGATTGCATCTATTAGTGGAATGGATCTGAAAGTAAGGCCTTAGGAGTCTCTGAGTCATTCCACAGGGTCACATTTTGTGGACAACAACTTTTTATGGGGCTTTAGGCATTTTAATGGGGGCTTTAGACAATCGTGGTTTTGCTGACAGAGAAGATACGGTCTTTGACTTATGAACAACTATCAGTGCCATGCCTAGAAAAAAAAATAGACTCTCAAATTGTTTTTGGATTAATCTGTCTGACTAATAGATTTAATGATTTTTGACAAAGTAAAAAGGTATACCTGCTAAATAATTGGCTTACTGGACATACGGTTAATGTGGGCTTTCTATACAAATTTGATTTGGGGCATTGACTCTTAAAACTAGTGAAACTTCTCTCAACATATCTGAACAAATATCTGATAAGAACTTGAGTCTGGGCTCCTTGTTTATACCTGATATTGACATATATCATATGGATACAGATACATGGCTATATATACTCAACCATAGCTTTAAATTTAGATGATATTTGTAAATATAATCAGAGTCATAAACATAGTCATAGATGCAAATGCTATTTTCAAACTCCAGTTATATTTGAGAATTGAAAAGATTCCTAGTGAGCCTATATCTGTATATAGGACCATTCCTCCATAAAATCTAATTTTCTTGTTTGCTTTTCCGTTGTGTACACACCTGTATGATTAACCTTACTTCTTCCTGGGGCCTACTGTGCACTAATGGCTTTATTTTCTCTGAAAAATCAGGTTTTTATCAACTTTGCCAAAGACCAAAAGTCCTACGAGACTGTCGACACCAGTAGCCAGGGATCCACTATCAGCACTGACTCACAGGATGACCACATGGAGTCGTAACACTTCCAGCAAACTCCATCTGAGCCCAAGGCCAATGACTTCATTTTGAGAAAAAGCTCTAGAAGTTACCACTTCCTCAGAATGTCTTCACTTTAAAGTATTATTCTGTATGGAGAGCTACCATAGTGTAAGACTAGCAAGTAATTATAACTAGAAAGGTTCTTCCTTCTAAGGTCAGTAGATGTTTTTGCTGCTGAAATGAATCCCTGTACACTCATTACTCTGAGTGTGCCAACATATTTGGTGGAGATTCTTAGGCAAAGGTGAAACCACATCAAAATAAGTGTCTTAATTTATTACTTTCAATAAAAAGAAAGCTTAAAAGGCATGGAGATGAGTAGTTGGAAAGTTACGAGTGGAGAGAAAAAGGAAGATGCTTTGTGGTAGGTAGGGTTGGGTAAACAAATGAAATAATTTATTTCCAGAAAAATAACAGAATGGGAATCCCCCTGAGTACATGACTCTGCTGTGACATGTAATGTGCTCCAGGCCAGTTAACATTCGCAGAGCACTGGGTACAATGGCTGCATCATATGTTGCATGTCATTTTCAGTACCTGGGAATACATGGGGACCTATGCAAAAAGTGCCTTTCCACAAGTATGTGATGGAGACGGCAGTTTACCCCGGTGGTAAACAGAATTTAGATTCATTTCTGCCACGCCTTGCTGATCGATAGGAAGGTGTAAGGTGGAGCAAGAAGCTACTTATACTTTGCGGGGCAGAGTGGAGGGCAGAAATGGGGTGTCATCTGGGCATACACGAATCCTGAAAAGAGAATTCACATGCTGCTGGCAGGCAACACTTTTTTAAACAGAAACCCTCATATTCTGGGTTTCTTCTCAGGAAACTGTCCTGTAAAGGAAGAATGAATATGAAAAGAATTTTCAGCTAATTACCTGGCTGACCCAGAATTGTGTGAATGGCTGTAGGGTAGACTTAACAATGCCAGTGACACGGCCCTCCGTGCTCTACATCCCATTTGTGTGCGTGTCTGTGTGTGTGTCTATACAAGTTTGCCAGCTTTGGCATGAGTGTTTCCGTTTCAAAAATCAATAAACTCAAAGTTTAAAAAAAGATCATTCATGTTGTCACTTCATTTGTTAGGAAAGAGCCAAGAATCTATTTTATCAAATGCTTTTTATGTATCTGTTAAGAAGATCATGTGGTCTTTGTTTTGTTGTTGTTGTTGTTTTGTTTTTTTAGAGACAGAGTCTCATTTTGTTGCCCTCAGTAGAGTGCTGTGGCATCACAGCTCACAGCAACCTCCAACTTAGGGCTTAGGTGATTCTCTTGCCTCAGCCTCCCAAGTAGCTGGGACTACAGGTGCCCGCCACAATGCCTGGCTATTTTTTTGTTGCAGTTTGGCCAGGGCCAGGTTCAAACCCACCACCCTTGGTATATGGGGCCAGCACCCTACCCACTGAGCCACAGGCATCGCCCATGGTCTTTGTTTTTGCTCTGTTGATATGGTGAATTACATTTATGGACTTGTGTATTTGATTGTGATGAATGATTTTTGCATACTTGATTGTGATGAATGATTTGTTTAATGTGTAGCTGTGATCTATTGGCTAGGGTTGTCTTGAGAATTTTTGCATCTGTATAAATTAGTGAAATTGGTCTGAAATTCTACTTTTTACTTGGGTCTTTTCCTGGTTTTGATATTAGGATGATGTTTGCTTTGTAGAACGTGTTGAGGAAGATTCCATCCTTCTCAATTTTTTGGAATAATTTCTGCAGTATGGGAATAAGCTCTTCTTTAACAATTTGATAAAATTCTGGTGTAAAGCCATCTGGAACAGGGTTTTTTTTTTGTTGTTGGGAGTTTTTTTATTGTTTCTTCAATCTCAGTTTTTGAAATGTCTATTCAAGTGATCTATTTCTTCTTGATTAAGCCTAGGGAGAGGGTGTAACTAGGATCTATAGAGAACTCAAATTAATCAACAAAAAATACTCAACAATCTCATATATCTCTGGGCAAGAGAGATGAATAGACCCTTCTCTAAAGAAGACAAGATGAATGACTAACAAACATATGAAAACATGCTCATCATCCCTGATCATCAGAGAAATGCAAATCAATACAACCCTGAGATATCACCTAATTCCAGTGAGAATGGCGCACATCACAAAATCTCAAAGCTGCAGATGCTGGCGTGGATGTGGAGAGAATGGAACATTTTTACACTGCTGATGCAAACTAATACAACCTTTTTGGAAGGAAGTATGGAGAATCCTCAAAGAACTCAAATTAGATCTCCCATTTTATTTTGCAGTCCCATTACCAGGCATCTAACCAAAAGAAAAAAAAAATCTTTTTATCATAAGGATATTTGCACTAGACTATGTATCACAGCTCAATTTATAATTGCCAAACTGTGGAAACAGCCTAAATGCCCACCAACCCAGGAACGGATTAACGAGCTGTGGTATATATACACCATGGAATACTATTCAGTCACTAAAACAGATGAAGACTTTGCGTCTTTTGTATTAACCTGGATGGCGGTGGAACATATTCTTCTTAGTAAAGCAATTGCAAGAATAGAGAAGCAAGAATCCAATGTACTCTATTCTAATATGAAGGCAGTAGATGATCTAATACAAGAGGGGGTGTAGGAGACGGAGCAAGTAGGGAGAGGGGAGGAGAGCGGGGGATGGGCGTCATTGTATATGTCACACTTCTTGGGGTGATTATAATAGGGACTTTATCAAACAAGTTCAATCAGTGTAACCTAATTCTTTGTTCTCTCAATGAGTTTCTAACAATAAAATAATAATAAAAAATACATTAAAAAAAAAAAAAAGAAATGTCACATTGTCACAGAGAAGCTTGAGTGCCCTGCTTTCTGATTTTCAATCCTGTTCTCCATCTAATAGGTGTTTTGTTGTACCTGCCTCTTACTTTTCTGGCTCGCACCATAATTTGTAATGTAGCCAGACTAACCATATATATGGATATAAACAGACGGCAACAGCAAATGTCTTTGTTGCATTACAAATGTCTTTGTAATATATACCGGGTGTCTCAAAAGTTACCTACAAAGTCGCCATACATAGGAAAAATGGGAAATTGTAGCTAAATGTACATTTGTTTGCAAAATATTCACTACAAAATTTTACAAAGAGATGGCCACCATATTGAGAATATTTTGTAAAATTTTTTGTATGGGCAACTTTTGGGACACCCTATAGGTAAGCCTTGAAGAGTCAAGGGTATAATTCTGAGCAAACAGGTGTCTTCAGGAGCCCTCGAGACAAAATGGATAGCCAGGCTTCCTGAAAAAAACACCAAAAGAAAATTGTTTGTTATTCATTGTCTCTGTCATGGTTGGTTGCTTGCTTCTGAGAAGTGGAAGGAAGGAGAGCAAAGAGAGAGGAGGGGAAAAAACAGTGAGATGGTGGAAGGCTGAGTACTGAGAAGAAAAGGAAATCTAGTGAGAAGGGACAGCCACGCCCTGGACTAAAAGGAAATCTAGTGAGAAGGGACAGCCACGCCCTGGACTCTGTTACCGCTGAATGTTCATTAAAGTTAGCCATGCCTGCAAGTGCATTATGTGGACCCGTGGCTTGTGGAGATTAGGAAGGGACAGGTGCAGACCAGTGACTGCTTCATCCCAGAATGAGCAACCTAAAGGCAGAGGAAACCATGAGACAGGAAGGCTGGCCAGCAACATGTGCTGAGCAGAGCTTTCATCCGTGGGACATGGCTCGGGGAGTCCAGCCAATCCGGAAGGAGCCCCGGTGGCCTGTGGACCACTGTAGATGCATCATTATTTGAGTATTTAGTATTCCTCACTAGACTGGAAAGTCTATGAGGACAGATCTGTTTTGATCTTCCTGGCTTTCCCATCAATTGTCTACATGTCCAATAAATATTTGTGTCACTCAGTAAAGATTGGCTGATTAAATGAATAAAGAAATAAATGGGAAACAAAAAGAAGCTGGCATGGTTGATATGGAAACCAAGCATCTTGATTCGGTTTACATTTCTAAAATGCTGTGAAGTTCCCCAGGATGTAGTTTATGCAGGGAAAAGAAAAAGAAGACGGTGCTTGGTTCCCTATTGCAGATATTACAGTGAGTCTATGGCTGTGGGAAGACTTGGGTGTCTTCTCTGGAATTAGAATTTGAATGCTATGTTCTCGTGCATTGCTGCATATTTGTTTCTTCTTTGTCATTTGTCTGCTAGGATGTGCTATAGAAGAGTTTCATAGTACATTTTCACATTTAAGTAAGGAACACACACACAAAAAATATTTGAACAACCCATGTCCCTTTGGGCTTCTGTGTGGTGGAGAAAATGTTTTGAGAATTCCCAATTCTTGGAGGAATACCTCCACTCTGGATAACCCCTACAGAATTGGGAGGAGTTGTTGCGACCCGTTGGGCTCCTGTGGCCCTGGTCTCGGTTAGCACAGGAAGGAACCAGGCGAGAGGCAGATTAGAAGTACAAGCTTGTGGAAGGCGGCCTAGCCCTTACTTTCTGGGTAGCCCCGAGCAACCTCCGCACCAGCCTTTTCTTGAGCCAGAACAACACAGGTGAGGGGAGTAATTAACAATGACTACGGGCTGAGGGCAGGAGCTCTTCTTCCACAAGGAACTCCTGTGGAGGAATGGCCCGAGGTCCACGCCTCAGCTGAGGATCATCTTGCTCGGATGTCATCTGGCTCTTGGCATCGCCTACAGGGGTGTTTTGTTTTGTTTTTTTAATGTTAGTTACCTAAATTACCTCTGACAGTTGTGGCAATTTTCAGTTAATCTATAAAACCCAATCTTCATAATATTAAAATACTGGACGCAAAATTACAAGGATGGGACACTGATATAATGACGTATATGACTCCCTTCCTCAAGTAAGGTCCCTGCCTCCTGGCTCTAGGTGAGGTTTGGGGTGAGAATGCAGCCCACCTCCCTTCGCGATCTGCAGCTGACCCCAGCCTGCTGGCTTCATTAACCCACGCTTCTCAACATAAGAAGACAGCAAGCTGAAAGGAATGGATATTATTTCCTTTGTATCATTTGTTCCAAGGTTAATCCTATCACTCCTGGTTTATTAATCTAGACTGGTTTTCCGTCATCTGCAGGATAGAATGCAAACTCCTTAACGGGTCCTCAGACTCTGTCATAATCTGCTGTAACACTTCGCCATGGTGTTTATTCTCTGTGATAAAATTCTTGCCATTTCCTATTTATGTTAGATTCTTTCTCAGGTCGACACAACTTTGCTCACATTCCCCTTTCTCTTGAAAAACTTCTTCCCGCTCTCCATTTAGCTTTTCATCTCGTGTCTCCTTTTCCTATGTCTTTGCTTTAAGGAACCCTTTGCAGAGAGCCCCAGCAGAGTTAATTGTCCTCTCACCGGTTACAGGCTTCTGTGCACACCTCAGCAGAAGCATCTCCATGTTGCACTATAAGTCATCTCTGGACACGTCTCTCTCTTCCCACTAACTCGTATGTTTTTTAAGAGTAGGGACCGATGTTTTCCATTATTGTACCTCTCA